TTACATTTTTTTTTTTTTTTTTTTTTTTTTTTTTTTTTTTTTTTTGGCTCCCTTTTTTTTTTTTTTTTTTTTTTGGTTTTTTGAGACAGGGTTTCTCTGTGGCTTTGGAGCCTATCCTGGAACTAGCTCTGTAGGCCAGGCTGGTCTCGGAACTCCCAGAGATCATCCTGCCTCTGCCTCCCGAGTGCTGGGATTAAAGGCGTGCGCCACCATCGCCCTGCGACTCCCTTTATTTTTATTATTATTCTTTTTTCTGAAAAACCACCCTGGCTGTCCAGAAACTCACTGTAGACCAGGCTGGCCTCGAAATCACATAGATAAATCTACCTCTGCCTCCCAAGTGCTGGGATTAAAGGTGTGCGCCACCACTGCCTGTCGTATTTTTATTTTTTGCGACAGGGTTTTTCTGTGTAACAGCCCTTGGCTGTCCTGGAATTCGATCTGTAGACCAGGCTGGCCTCGAACTCCCAGAGATCTGTCTGCTCTGCCTCTCAGTGATGGGATTAAAGGCGGATGTGTCCATTACCATAGTCCTGACTCAATACTAACTTCTTTGAAGTTGGGTTTTACAGAGGCTCTCTCCTTCCCTGACTCCTTAGTCATTAGAGCCACCTGGTGGCCATAGGGGAAATCACAGGTGGACTAACCCCAACTATCGCCCGCGCCAGCATCTGCAGTCATTTTGAGTCTTGTCTGGTGAAAGGGTGGAAACTGAAGCACAGGGCCGGCATCCTACTATCTTAGTCCTGCTTTGCCTTTAGGACCCAATGTCACACCACTAGTTATTACAGACAGATGAATTCCTTCAGATCTGAGCTCATCTGGTCACATTTATTGAGCAGCAGCTTATGTGCTCAGTAGTGAGAATACAGCAGTGAGTGGGGTTTCTGCCAGTCATTTGCATCCATTCTACATCGTTTCATAGCGGTAATAAGAACACTGAAAAATGCATAGTGCTAAGAAAACAACTCGCGAGGGATGGGATCAAAAAAGCAAAGGGAAGGAATGTTTAGGATAATCAAGGTGGGAAGCAGAGGCGTGCAGTGGTGAACTGACCAGTTTGTGTTGACCGCTGCAAGAAGAAACTTCATGATCAGGCCACCCAGGGTGTGCAGAACATGGGACAAAGGGCTGCTAGGGTGACATGTGCAAGGAAGGCAGGCCTGATTTATGCAAGGCTTCTTGAATTTAGAGCTTTATTCCAAAAGTGTGAGAACCACCCTGAAGATCTGAGGCAGAAAGTCAGATGTTTAGGTTTATGAAGGCTGAGGTGGCAATGGAAAGCTAGAAGTTCCCTAGCAATTGAGACAAATAAAGATGGTTATTAGACAAAAGAACAGATTCCAAAGATTTTAGGGACAGAATTGATGAGAGCTTGAACATACAGGGAAAGGAGCATGTTTCTAACAAGTTCTGAAGTAGGCAGGTGGCTAGAGCGTGTGAGCCCATCCCAGGTAAAAGTAGGAGTAGGATGCTCTGGAAGAGACAAGTTTGGACAAAATGACTGCATCCTAGATGTACATGCCCTGATGTAGGGATAAGTCCCACCCCTTAGGGGGCGTGTTCGCCTCAGGCTAAAGTTCTCCTATAAAATTGGTGAGCGTGCTCCCAGCGCTCTCTTCTGCTTTCCTGGTCTCCGCGGGAACAGTGGTTCTGTAAGTCTATTCCTCCATTAAAGCTGTCTATATTTTGACAATCTGTCTGCATTCGCTTACGCCGTTACACCCTGAGGATGCCAGGGGGGAGCAACATGGCTCTGGTTCTCCAATAGTTTAGGACTTAAAAGAACAAACAAGAACACACAAATATCAGTTCAGAGCTGACTAGACATTGTAACTGATTGATCCAGAGTATAGATTTTTAGATTGCAGGGGACTATGTGAAAGTCCTCAGCATCAGTGGATTCAGAAACCACTGAAATCAACAGGGTTGGTCCCACCATGTTCATGTTTCCCACAGTCACCCTCTCAGAAAACACTGCACCCACCCAGGGTCACTGGAACCTGAGGCCGAGCCTGGGAAGAAGCAGTTTCCTTGACTCACTTTTGCTCACTGCTGTGGGGAAGTCCACTCATCTCTTATTCTTTTTGCTTGTTTTTGGTTTTTTTGTTGTTTTGGAAACGTTTTTACTGTGTAACAGCTCTGGCTGTCCTAGAACTAACTCTGTAGACCAGGCTGGCCTTGAACTCATAGAGATCTGCCTATCTCTGCCTCCCCGGTGCTAGGATTAAAGCCACTGTGCCTGGTTCAATTTATCCGTTATTCCTAATTCCCCTCACCTGCTAGGGATAAAGGGAACCAAATCTAGCCAGTCACCAGGAGAGTTGTCTGCCTCCCTTAGCTCTCATCTCTCTGATCCCATCAAGCCCCCTCATCTTCTTACAAAGTCAACCTTCTCTTCCTTGCCTTCTGTTAATGTGAAAGGGGAAACATGCTCCCTTTTGGACCCCTCACTACAATGTTCTGATTTATGGGCCATTCCTCCATTCTGGTTTCTCCTGGAGTCAGTAAAGATCTATCTTGTTGCCCCGGACAGTCAGAAAGTGCTATAATATTAACAAAGAAGCAGCCTCAGTAGCTAATGCTTGGCTGAAATTCGGCCTCCCTGCCTCTATCCCTAGAGTGCTCTGCTAGTCAACTCCCTTCAAACAGAGTTAATGCTGACTACACAATAGGCTACATTTCCCCATTGTGCAACAATCACAGGACAAGCTGACATTTCAAACACATGGGTTGAGAGCAGCCATTAGAAATGTTAGCATTGAGTGAGGCTACTGAGAATATCCCTTTACACGGAAAAGAGCCTGGATTCGCACTGTGGCTCTTCAGTTACTAATGTGGTTTTGTGCTCCTGAACCTTCTAAACTAAGAACATAGCATTACCAGTATTCACCTTCTAGGATAGCTGTATTAAAAAGCATAAAACTCTCAGCATAATTTCTATCCTGAATGAACTGACAGCCATGCACTTTTCCTGTGCTGTCCACTGCTAACCACCTTTAGGAAGGGAATCAACCACACCAACCACAGTTGGTGATAGGAATTTCTGGATCCTGCCTTCGTAAATCCCATCTTCCAACAAACATCTCGTTCTCATCTTTGCCAAAAAAAAAAAAAAAAAAACTTCCATCCTTTCATGCCCGTGTGTTTTCTCTTACTATCAGAGTTCTGCCTGAGCTCCACCTCCTCTGCACATTCCAAACTGAGAGACCGTGGCTCTCTTCCTATCATTTCTAAGGATTAATCCTCCTCTAGTATTCCTCCCACCAATATTCTCTGAGCAAATCATAGAGGAGCTAGGGATAAGGGCTCTTACTTTTCAGAAAGAACCACAGGCCAGTTCCCAGAGGGCAACAGAGGTCTAGGCCCAGGCCTCACAGACCCAAACCTCTTTTTCTCAAGGCACAGAAAGAGGGAAACTCAAACATGTCTTGAGTTCCATGCACACACATCTCCTTTCCTATAGCTCTGTGAGGTCATCGTTGAAGTAGAGCAGTATTGCAGGTGTGTGAAGTGTGCCATCCATATTAAGATAGTCAAACTCGTCTTCTTCATCCCGGATCCCATTCTCTTCCAGGGTATGGTCCATGTTCAGATTCTTCCCATCATATTTCCATGTGTAGCTGGCAGCATGTGCATTATAGGGGAGATAGCGGTGTAGGATTTCCCACATTGATTCCAGAGCCCCCACCTAAAGAACACAGAAGTATTCACCTCTAGAGTTCTGTATGGTACATAACACATACCCTCCAAAGGCCAGGAGAAGGGCCTTTATGCCTAGCTCCTTTAGGATTTGCTCTAAAGAAACTAGAGAGAATACCAGAAGAGAATCGGTCCTCCAAAATGAGATAGCTTGGATCAGAGTGCCTCCATTAGCAGATAGCACCCTTCAGACACCCCATAGTCCCAGAGAATCCAAGTTGAAGCTCCAGCATACAACCAAGACACCAGAGTCCTATCACTTCTAACAAACAAATGACTCAATAGAGTCAAAGCCAGTGTCCCTCACTGGCGACTGAGTAGACTAAAAGTCCAACTGCTGTCTGTAACAGCATACCTGCCCTTCGAAGGACCACCATCACTAAGATGCTGGCCTAGACCTATGAAGGAGACTGGGGTAGCTGTAACTCAAACATACTCCTAGAATTGCCAACCCTGGGAACCTGGGCCATTTGCTTTCCTCTGTCATGGTACTGTGAAAGGAAGAAAACACAGCTTCCAGAAATGATTTCTGGTTCCCACTTAGCCTGTCCCCAGGCACCAGGTCTCACCTGCAGTGTGTGCTCCTGCGACGTAAGAGTGTTGATGATACGGATGTTCCGGGTCTTGGCAGACAGCCGCCCCACCTGGTAATTCGACCCCTTCCACCAGGGCTTCCCGAAATCATTAGCCCAGTCTGAACGAGGCAGAGGAGGTGGGACGTGCACGAAACGGCCCCGCGGGGTGCGGTATCTCAAGCAACCAGTCAGCGGATCTATGTGCTTGCGAATCTTTAAAAAGCGAGGGTTTAGAGAGGAGGATAGGAGCAGTCACTATGTCGGGTTCTGGTTATTCCCGCCGTCCCTCTCTTATTCCCCCCCCCGCCCACCCCTACCCCCCCTCCGCCCGCCCCTACCCACCCCCCTCCGCTCTCCAGCGCCGCTTCCACCAACCCCACATTCCAACAGAACTCACGTCTCTGGTCTTCGGATCAAACCAGTGGCTAATGTCCTGGCCTGCAACTTCCAGGATGGGTTTCAGCAGTAGGTTCCCTGAAAAGGAACAGAGGCCGTCAAAGGCCGGTCACCTAAGCGCCAAAACCTGCTCCCCAGCCCATCCCTCACGTGTACCCCTTACCTTTAAATTCCTGTGCAAGCGGCGTTAGATTGTACACATATCCCAGGTAAGACACCCACAGGTCTTCGGGCTGGTTGTGTTCCGCTACTTCCGACGGCGTGAAGTACCGACGATTAAAATAGTCAAAGTCTGGCCCGGCCACTAGGCCCCGGCGCGGCATGGCTCCTGTTCTATAAGGGGCAGCAACTCTCTCTGACTACTTCCTCGCTCCTCAGCCGTCTTACAACTATCAGGTTAGAGAGCTGCCTGGAGTGCGTTTGTCGCTAACATGGAAACCATTGTCCTTTTCCGGCCACCGTCCACTGAGGTTCAACCCTGCGTCAGCAGGGCGGGGTCTGGGCTGCCCGTGTTCACCGGAAACATTCTTGATCCGGCACCGAGCATGTTGTTGAGTTTCTTAGAGAACATGAAGATCCGATTGGTATCGGAGTCTAGGCTACATAAGTTACTTAGATGGTGCGGAGACCAGACTAGAGGCTTTTCAAATTTCAGACATTTCTAAAGGATGGTTAAGAAATTTCAGGTAACGTTCTCGCGATATTCTTGAAATAGCCTAGTAGGCGTCTATAAGCCCGGGCTGAAATAAAATCTCGCGAGATCTCTGGAGTGGCGGACCAGGAGACGGCGGAGGAGTTGTCACGAAAGGGAAGAGCTTGGGAGCACTCGCGAGATCTGAATACCCGACCCAAAACGCTCTTAGGAAGTTTAAGGCTCAAAGGAAGTCCTAGGGCCAATGGCCGGAGCTGGGCCAACCATGCTGCTACGGGAGGAGAATGGCTGTTGCAGTCGGCGTCAGAGCAGCTCCAGCGCCGGGGTTAGCGTGGGCGCGGGTTCTGGAGGAGCAGTCGGGCCGCGACATCGGGCGGGGAAGGGAACGGGGTGGAAAGGACAGAAAAGAGAACTGCAGTTCCCAGCAGCCCACGCGGCACCACCTGAAGCCCGGGGGCTGCTGGGAGCTGTGGTTCTACGGGTGTGCAGCCGAGCGTGTGCGCGCCTGAATTCGTGTCCTGCCCTAGCAGGACTCTGACGGGGAACAGGAGGACTCACCGGCTGCGCGTGCCCGTCAGCAACTAGAGGCATTGCTCAACAAGACCATGCGCATTCGTATGACAGATGGAAGGACACTAGTCGGATGCTTCCTGTGCACCGATCGCGACTGTAATGTCATCCTGGGCTCTGCGCAGGAGTTCCTCAAGCCGTCTGGTCAGTGTCCAGGGAATACACACCTCCTCGGGAATGCGGCGTAAACTCACCGCAAGGCTTTCTCTTGCGGGCCTTACTGCACCCCTCGTATTCCGGGGCGAGACCGATGCTTGCCTGCCGTTCTGATGCTCTGACCTTTTTTTCCAGATTCATTTTCTGCGGGAGAACCCCGTGTGCTGGGTCTGGCCATGGTACCAGGACATCACATCGTTTCTATTGAAGTCCAAAGGGAGAGCCTGGCGGGGGCCCCGTATCTCTGACCACAATCGCACTTCTCTTTGAGACCATTAAACCCTATGACCAAAGTGGCCGGTGTCTGTGTGTAGGTCCGATGTCAGGGCAGCGATAACCCTTAGAGGTTTATCTAAGTTCAGGGGCTTTCTCAACCTAATGCCCAGGGAGTACCAAGAAAGCTCAAGAGTTTTAAGGCAACAAGCCCTAGGGTGGGCCCCTCCATCTTCCCTCCCACGCTGCTGCTTCAGATTGTAGCGGGAGGGGGTGTCATCCTGCTCCGGAAGACCCATTGTTTCCCACCCCGGCCTGGCAACACTTAGTTCCTTTAAGCTGGGGTCAGAGAACGGGCTCGGGTCCCCAAGGGGAGCTGGGTAGGCAGCTGAAGCAAGGCCCCCTCCGCGCTATTAATGGAGAAGTGGCTTTGGGGTCAGGGTCAGAACTCTGGGGTCTAACCAGGAAGAACGGACTAAGGCGATAAGGAAAGGCAGGATGCTGGAGGATGCTCTGGTCTGCCCATTTGTAGTCTCAGGGATTTGTTTCCTACTCCTGAGCCCTGGGCAGGGACAACTGTATATAAGCCACCCCTGTATTCACAGAGCACATTTATTTCATAAATTCTTTATTGTTTGTGATGGTTCCTTCTCCAGCGTTGTCCCTCAGTCCCGTAAATATTAGAGGAGCTGCACCAGCTAAGGAAGGCACAAAGTTCAGCTCTCCTATTTCCGCTAGGGGAGAGAGAGAAGATGTGCAGGGTCCAGCCCAAACGTTCAGGATTCAAGTGAGATGTTCTGGGGCATGGGAATTTTCGCCAGCATTGGATCCACAGGTGGTGATGGTCCATCAAAGGGATACTAGAACCTGACTCGGGCAATGGTAAGGAGCAGGACAAGGCAGAATACCCCTGAGCTTGCTTCAAGTCCTTCCGCGTCCAGGAGGACAATCAACAGAATTCTTGACTCAACGCACCTCAAACCCAGACCTTTCCCGGTGTGGGAACAGCCCGGGACCCTGGTGAGGCCGGGATTTGCTTCGGCTGTGGGATGCGCCGGCGCCTGTAGAGGGCACGGCTGTAGGGTACTAGGCAGTCGGCCAGGCGGAGACGCAGGCAGAGGCGGCGATAGGTGGCCAAGGCAAGCACAAGCAGCGGTACCAGCAGCAGGAATCCAGTGACCAACAGGGCCGTGAAGCCTGGGTCCCGCAGATGGGCGGTGCAAGGGGGTGCCTGGGAGCGCAGGAACTGTGCAGATAAGAGACGTCAGACTCTGGCCCACTGGGTCACACTCTGCCCCTGAGGGAAACATCCCAGGTCGGGAAGTTGTAGCTCAGACACCCCATTACCATCACCACACACGCATACCCCTTGGGGCCCATGCTTACCTGAGAGTGGCAGAGAAAGCCGAAGCCCAACATGGTGACAGCGGGTAGCAAGATGGTCCCCAGGACTAAAGCCAGCAGGAGAAGATTGAAGACAGCCACCAACAGATTCTGAGCCGTTACTAGCACTGCACAGGCCCAGCAGTCCAGGGGATCCCGGGGCTCTGGGCCGCCGGCAAGAACCGAGCGTTGGGCTCCCGGGACCTCCGCCATGGCCTGGCTGGTTCCCGCCCCGCACCGCTGCGGCCCTTATAGCCCTCTTTCCTGCCCCTCCCCCGGTGCAGCCTCTCCCCACTCCACCCCACCCCCAACTACCTTATCCTGGAATGCAGCTCCAGGATTAGGCATCCTCATCCCAGGAGCAGACCACAGCTCTGGACATTCCACAGGCGCCTCCGGGGAGGGGCTCGCCAGCGCCAGGGTCTGCGCTGCCCTCCCATCAATCCATCAATTCCCGGCCCTTCAACCGGTACTCTTTACAGCCATCATCAAAACACATGGGTCTCTTTTTTTCCTGCTTTTATTTTTAATATTAATATTCTCACACAAAAGTCACCGAAAATAGGGTAGGGTTGGGAAGACCCCTCTGCCCCTGGGGCAGAGAGACAGTGCAGTGCGAGGGGGCGGGACTGTAAACCCCCCCACCCCTCCGCAGCCCCAGCGGGAGAAGAAACTAAGAAAATGAAAATAAAGCCCCAGAGAAACTCACCCCAGGGTGTCCCTGCCCTGGGCTATTTCACGCCTTTTAAAAAAAAGGGGGGGTGATGGTAGAGGTGTCCAATGTTTTTTAAATTGGCCGAGGCTGGGGAGGACAGGGTTTCTTTTCCTCATAGTTCTTTCTTTAAAACTTTTATTTTTTTTATTTTATTTATTTATTTTTTTTTTTTTTTTTACAAAATACCATTTCAGTTCCCACTTCTTCCCTACAGTACAGGAGTCGCTCACCCTCAGGTGGGGTTGGGGTCGGGTCGGGAGTGGGGGTACTGGTCCAAGAAAGTGCAGGACGTAGGGGAGGGGAGCGGGTTTGAGCACCATGAGAGCCCGGCTGGAGCCGCGGGCGGACGGAGACCGACGGGCCAAGCCCGGACATATATACTGGGGCGCAAGGAGAACCCAGGAGCAGGCCTCCCAAAGAGGCAGGAGGGATGGCTTGGGGGTGCAGGAGGTCGGGTTTCCCCCCCCCCCCAAAAAAAAGAATAAATAGAGGTGAGTGGGACTGTTATAAATTAAAAAACAGAAACAAAAAAGGAACAAAAATACAAACCATAATCAAATGAATAAACAGACATATACAGGGATCACAGCTAGCATTGGGAGTAAAAAAGGAGGGCCTGGGGGAGGGGTAAAGCCCATAGAAAGAATCTCATTAAAAACCTCGGCTGCCGAATGTCTATGTACACAACGAGCCGCGAACGTCTGCCGGCGGGCTGCGTGCGGCCGTGCGGCGGGCAGGCTTGAGGGAACCCGTATGTGACCCCCGCCGCCGCCGGAGCCTGGTCCTTGTGTCTGTTGCTAGAAAGGCCAAAGTCGGTGAGGGGAGGCGCTGGTGGGCGAGGGGCTGCCAGCCCCCTCCCCGTCTCCCATTTTTTTTCCTTTTTTTCCTCGTATTTGTTAAAAAAAATTTTTTTTCTTAATAAATTAAGTGAGGGGAGCTGCCAATAAGGGTGGAAGGGCTGGGCCCGACCCCCTTCCCGGCCAGAGGCGGGACCTAGGTCCAGCCCAGGCGTGTGCTGGTGGCCCCGCCGCGCCCTGCGTGGGCGGGCGAGCGGGGCGTCCGGCCTCATCGCGACGTACTGGCTGGAGCCTACGGAAAGAAAGCAAGAAAGCGGAGCAGCTTCAGTGGTGGCAGTGGCTGGCGGGTGTGGCCCGGCCGCTCCCGTGCCCCTTAGGGAGTCCCGGGGCTCTCACCAGCGTGAAGGCATCGTAGGCCTGCGCCAGCTCCTCCGTGCGGTACTGCTCTAGCACCACCACGCCCTGTAGGCCCGCGCTGCGACGGCGAGCACAGCCCTCGCAGTGCACCAGGTACGTGTTTCGGCTGCCGTTCTCACTCGTAACGAACAGGATGTTGAACACCTCCACCTAGCCAGGGAAGGGGCTGTCAGCAGGAAGGCGGCCTACTGTCGTCACCTCGGGGACCGCGTGGAGCCCAGGCGCTTTGTACTTACATCGCATTCGTTGCAGTAGTAGGCAGGCTCGTCCTTGACACGGCCTTGGTAAGCGATTTTCTTACCGGCCCGCACCAAGCTCTCCCGCTGCACCTGGCAGTGCTTCATTGACTGCAAGAGGCAGAACCTGGGGAAGAGCCAAAGGTGGTAGGGAGACTCCAGGAGAAGACGTGCCAAGGCTGGGGGAGGGGGAGAACGGGCTGAGCCCAAGACCTTAGCTCTACCAATTTCCCTAGGCAGCCCTCCCTCCCCTTTCACTTCTGAGTTGCATTTCCTGTCTTGAGTACATCACATTTGACATTTCATGTGTGTGTGTGTGTGTGTGTGTGTGTGTACACCACAGTAAACAAAGGCTATGAGACGAGAGTAGGGGTTTTGTGGAGCTCCTCAGCACAGTGACTTCTGTGAGCACACTGCAGGCGTGGATGAAGACAGGCGAAGAATGAGGAGAACAAGGGTAGGAAAGAAGTCAGGTGGCGGTGGCTGCTAGCCAAACGGGCCTCACTTGATCATCTTGAACAGGTCCGGATCGCTGATTTTGACCGTTCGAGCTACATTCCAGGACACGTGAATCATGGGCACTATGGACTTGACGTTCTTCACCTCGTTCCATTCGTAGCGCTCCAGGGCCAGCTGGTACTGATAGGCTGCGGGCCAGAGAAGGTCACTAAGGGTTCTCCACGAGCCTCCCCCCCCCCCCGTTCCCATGCCACTTCTCCCCAGCAGGGCCCATTCCCCACACCCTTCACTGTCCCGTGATGACCGGACCCCACCCTCTCACCGGTGAGGGGCCCCACGTTCCAAGCAATGTTGTTGCACCAGCCAGTAGCCTGCACCCAATGCACAGTCCCTGCATTAATCCACACAAGGTCCCCAGGGCGCTGCACGAAGCGGTAAACAGGAATATTGGACGCATATAGGTCATCCAAGATTGGCCACCAGGAACCAGTCAAGTAGTCCACACCATGCCTGTGGAATGAACAGCCACGGACAGGGTCAGGTGACAGAGCCAAGGACCCGATTGTGGTGGGGTGACTAGCAAGGGGGCGGTGCGCACCGATCGCAGAAGGCGCTGATGGTCTCCCAATAGTGCTCGTGTACTGCGAACCACTCACAGTCCCCGGGGCCAATGTTGATATTGACAGAGCAGAAATTGTTATTCTCTTGGTGGCCTGCAGAGGGAGATAGAACGTCATGGATTATCTCAGGCAAGCTGGCAGCCACCCTTTGCCCTCATTGGCTACCAGCTAAGCACTGAGTGCGCACTTCCCGCACCGTGCTCAGGGTGAGAAGCACACCTGGCGTTCGGCTGCCAGGGACCTTCATATATAGCTGCACGGTGTTCATGCCCAAGATGGTGTGGCCCACATGGCTGAGCATGTTGCCTGTGGATGTTACTCTCATGAAGGCAGGCAGCTTCAGCAGCTCCTGTAGCTGGGGCTTCCACCTGGGAACAGAAGAATGCCAACATCGTAAGAGGGTATCTCAGCGTTTAGCAGGGTTTCATCCCAGCTTCACTGGTCCAGCCTCACCTACCTCTTGGCATCAGACAGGTCGATGTTAGTGCCAAACTTGATGATATGATGGTTCTTGGGGTCCGGTGCACTGCTGCTGGGGCAAAAACACGGAGAGGTGTTGGCGAACCAAGGGACCAGAAGAGCAAAGCCAGACGGGACGGAAGGAATTCTACTTTACCTGGGAGGGGTCCCCGTGGTGCTGTCTGGTTCCTCCGACTCTTCATCCTCACTCTCCTTCTCCTCCTGCTTGGTCAGATGAGTGGGCAGGTCTAGGTCAGTGACCTCCTGAGGCCCACTCGAGTCAGACCCCAGCACCCGTCACCAATGGGGCATGATCCTCACCTGCAGCGACTCCTGGAAGGAGGATGCCTGGTACTGTGCGTACTTGGCGATAGTGGTGTGTGAGCGGGAGCTCTCGCAGGGCCAGATCTGTCTCGTGCCCGTCAGGTCCCAGTTCTCGTCTGAGGGCTGCTGCACTTGGGTGCGGACCTCCACTGTGTGCTCGCCGCTTGCTTCCACCAGGGTCTTGGTGGAGAAAAGGCCTAAGTCTGTAAGGGAGTGTCAAAGGGATGTCCGTCAGGATGGGATGCTCAGCTCATCCTTTCCCTTCTAACTGGCCAGGCCTCTGAGGAGGTGGACACAGATATGGCAGAACTCAGTACCAAAGAATCAACAAGAATCCCAGCCCCAGGAAGCCGTCAAGGCTGCCTTCTGTGGGTCCTTCCCCAGCCCCTTTCTCCAACTTCAGGCTTAGCCTCTCAACTAGAAGCCTCAGATGTGCTCATGGCCACATAGTAGGCAATCAGTGAATAGCAAGTGGTCACTGGAACAGGGAAAGACGTAGCTAAGCCTGAAATGTCCCTCAAATCACTCAGTGAGAGGAGAGATTTAAGGGTAGAAAGGAAACAAGACTGACCCTACATTTATATAGCTTCCTCTGGTTTAAAATTTTGCACCATAAAAGACTGATAAAGAAAAAAGCCAAACCAAGTAGTCTATGATCTATTCTTTTCATTTGTTTTGTTTATGGTCTTTGCAGACAGGGTTTTTCTGTGTAGCCCTGGTAGCCCTGGCTGTCCTTGAACTCACAGAGATCTGCTTGCCTCTGTCTCTCAAGTGCTGGGATCAAAGGTGTGCGCCACCACTGCCCGGCTCATTTCATTCCTAATCACTAAGACAATCAGAAGTGACTCTAATCACTCCTGAGAGCCACCTTCCCGTCCGTGTGTCTACTGGGGACAGAAATGACAGATGAGAAGACCTCAAGGCTGGCTGGCACACCACAGAGCACTTCTCAAACACTGCCTGTACATGACTGAGTATGAGGGTCGCTGTGGCAAGTCTGCAAGCACAGGGGCGGTTCTCAAAGAGTCCACATACCACATCCTCACGGCCTTCTGCATACCCCCCCCCCAAACTCACTGAGCCGAAGTGAGCCAGCCAGGCCCCTGATGACGGTGATGGGGTTGCGAGGGTCTGTACAGAACTGCAGCAGCACTGGCGAGAAGGCGTCCCGTTTGCTCTCCAACTGAGACAACCAGGAGACACTGAGTCAGATCCTTTCCCCAGGCTCTCAGGACCCAATCCAACCCTTCTGA